AGCCTCGTGAGATCAGCAGCAGGGGGTATCAGTCAGCCGGGCCTGGGTTCGAATCCAGCTGAGCAGGGTTGGGCTCCTGACCTCATTTCTCCTCATCTGGAAAACGGGTGTCTTTGTGGGCACCCCCCAGGGCTGGCAGGAGGACTGCGCCCCAGAGTGTGGTGGGCGCTAAAGCACTGCCAACCAAGAGCCTGTCTGGTCTGCAGGGAAGACGGCCTTCGCCCGCTCCCTGCACACCCAATCACACTGCATCAGGAACGCCACAAACAGGGCCCTGGCCCTCAACAGSACACAGGAGGCACCTTTCACCGCCAGGCGATCCACGCAAGTCCTGGCTGTGCCGCTTGCACGGCTGCTCCTGCCCAAGGCCTGGCTCCTGACTGAGCCCTACCCAGGATCCCCTCCCAAGCACTGAGCCCACGGGTGCGGGAGGAAGTGGAGACGGGGTGCGCATTCGGTGGCACTGGGAGTCCTCAGCCCAGGGGAAAGGGTCCCAGATCCCCAGCCCAGTCACCTCACAGCAGAGACCACTCCCCGCCGCCACGCCCCCCTCTACCTCCAGCCCCAGAAGGGCTCCACCAGAGACCACCAAGCCCCACGGCCGCAGCCTCCAGCTCCCGGTGCTGTGGGTGGCTCTGCTGTACCTGTTCTCCCCCAGGGGCGCCCGGCCCTCCCCAGGCAGCCCCCCACAAACCCCCTGTCTTCACTTCCTGGCCCCGAGGACCTCTCCTCCCTGCTCCCCCTCCACTCCCCAGTCTCAGCATCCTCGCAGCCACCACTCCTGTCCTGCAGGTGACTTCTCCCTGCCCGTCCAGGCTGCTGGAGAGAAGACCAGAAAATCAACCAAAAAGCATCCACCTGCTGGACGGGCCCTCCAACAGGTGGTCGCCAGTTCTACCTGGACACCTCCGCCATCGGCCTCTGGGGTCCACCCACCCAGCTGCAGAAAACAGAAGCCCCCACCAAGGCCTGGCCTCGACTCCCTGCCACTGACCCACACCCACCAACCCCACCCGCCTTTTCCTCCTTCCTTCCTCCAACAATGGAAGTTCCTGGTCCAGGACTGACCGCACCCCCAGCCGGTTGCTCCATCTGCCCCTTTGTTCTAGGTGAAGAGCCCTCCGCCTGGGTTTGCATGGTGGAGTGGCGTCTCCGCTTAGCCTTGTGCAACCAGGGAAGGACCGACCAGCTGGGCTTCCTGGTCCCTAGGGCGAGGGTCAGAGGGTAGCTGCCTGCCAAGGGGAAGGATTGGGTGTTTGCATTAAAATCCTGTTGGACACACACGTAAGCATGCAGATGAAGCTGGCAGGTCCCGGGGGACAGTACAGAGAAGTCCAGGGACAGTTGTGAGAGCTGTATGCTGCCTCCTGTCCTTTCCAGCTGGGTGACCTTGGCCAAGGGACTTCCTCTCTCTCCACCTCAGTCTCCCAGTCTGTAAAGTGGGGGCCAAGATAGAGCCTGCCGTACAGAGCCCGGACTTCCAAGAGTCACTGCCTCCTTCTCCTGCTCCTTTGCAGCGACGCTGGTCTCCTGATGGTCCCCAAACCCGCCAGGTCCTCTCTACCTCAAGGCCTTTCCATTCACTTCTCCTCCTCATAAGCCCTTATAACTTGAAATATTATACTTAYATTCCTCTTCTCTTTCTCCTAGAATACAAGGCAGGGGTGTTTTGTTTTGTTTTGGTGTATTTTGTCACTACTCTTTCCCCAGTGCCTAGAACCATGAGGGATAGGTACGTAGCAGGTGGTCAATAAATATTGGTTAAGAAGAGGGAGGGAGAAAAGAAAGACAAGTGGGAGAGAGAAAGAGGAAGGAAGAGAAACAGGAAAAGAGGGAGGGAGGCAGGTAATACCAGCAGATCAGAGCCAGGTGAGCGGAATGGGACCATACATTCAAGAGAATATTACTCAGCCTTGAAAAGTAAGGGCATTTGAAAGATGCTGCAGCAGGGGTGAACCCCAGGACCTCGTGCTAAGAGACAGGCCAGACTCCAGGGGCCAACCTTGTGCGATTCTCATATGAGGCGCCCAGGGGGTCAGGTTCGCAGGAATAGAAAGCGGGCGCAGGGGCTGGAGGTCAGAAGGGATGTGATTATTCAATGGGTGCAGCACGTGGCTGGTTGGTAGAAACGTTCTGAGGACGTGGACGCCCAGGACGGCGGCAGAACATAACCCTACTGAACTGCACTGAAGAAATGGTCAATTGGTAATTTTTCTGTACGTCTTACAACGATAAAAAATTAGGAATTTCTTAGAAGTTTAAATATCAACGACAGGACTTCACGCAGCTTCGGGACACCACTCTCCTGGTGTCTTCCCGGCTCTCCAGTCCCTCCTGCCTGGCTGGCCCGAAGCTGTGGGTCTCCCTCGGGTCGGGATCCGCGGCTCTGGTCCKCGGAGGACAGCAGGCAGGCGCTGTGCTCCACCTGCCCGCGGTCTGCGTGGCGCCACACCCCAGTGCCCATCCTGACCGCTCTTCTCTCCCCACTCAGAACCGAGACACCTCTCACCTGCGCCCTCAGCGGGCAGCCTCCGCCCCTGCTGCTTCTGTCCTCATCCTCCTGCCAAAGGCCCCGCCCACTCCCGCCACACACCACACCCCGGAGGACCCCGAAGGACCCCGAAGGACCCCGGAGGACCCCAGAGGACCCGCATCCGTCTGCAGACCCTGGAGCCCTCTCCGTGGCTCTGGAGCGCCGTCAGTCCCCTCCCCCACAGAGGACACCAGGAGTCTCCTGCTGCCCGTCTCCTATCCCATGGGGTGTCCAGCTCCTGGAGGGCAGGGACTGGCCTTCACTCATCAGGTATCTATGGAGCACCCATGTCATGGCAAACAAGATTCTGCCGAGCAGCCGAGGACAGTGGCAGGTGGAGCCCCAGGAGTTTAGTCTGGAGGGAGWGGCTGGGGAACCTGGCAGTGACACGCCCAGCAGGGGAGGCCGGTCCTTGGGCCCCACCACAGTTAGCTGAGCTTCCTTGGAGGCTGCATCCCCAGAGGTCGCCCAGGGGTCACCAGGGCCTGCTGCTAAGGAATTCTATTTTGTCTTTAGCTCTCTGTTTTGAGATAATAAGGCCCTGTGTCCTCTATGTGAAGTGGCACCTACAGGTCAGAATTCCAAGTGCCCTCCTGACTTCTTCCAATGGCGCTCAATACCAAAATCAGGAAATCTACTGCATACGTGTACGAATATGTGACAGCGAATCCTATCATGGTGTACTGTAATGCACCAGGAAGTCAACCGTGGGTACCATATCGCTAACTGGACTACAGACTTTATGCCACGTCCATTGTTAAAATGCATCTTTGGTTGTGCGTGAACGAGCGTGCTCTCCTGTTGTCTTGTCACTTTATTGCCTGTGTAAGTTTGTGTAACCACCACCGCATCAAGACCCAGAACCAGGTAGACTCCCAGGATCGTCTCTCTTCAGTGAGGGGCTTCTTCTGTCAATGCATCTCACTCTCCAGGACTTTCAGGACCGTTCAGGGGGAACGCGCTGATACACACAGACACCAGACCCAGAGATGCAGACAGGTCATGGCCCCACCCTGGGTCAGCCAGGGAGAGTGCAGGCAGGCAGCCTCCTGAGTCACTGCCTGCATGGGCCTGGGGCTGGAGGCCAGAGACAAATTACAATCATTAGGGAATTTAAGAGGCTGGGGGAGGGGCCGAGGATGACAGGCCCCAGGATGCAGCCCCCAGCTCCAGGGTCCCACCAGGTTGGGCCAGCCTCCTCCCTCCACCTCCCCCATCCGGGTCTATGACCGTCTCTGTGTCTCTGCCCACCTCACTTTGGGTCTCCCCAACCCTTGCAGAGTTCATGCCAGGGACCCCCAGTTCTTCCTGTCCCCAMCGTCTCAGGACACGAGGAATCACACTGAGAAAGCAAGTGTGGTGCCTCCCGCCCATCTCCAACCGGTTCTCCATCCACCCCTCTGTCTCCTTGTCCTCTAGCCCTGTCCCCCATCTGTGTCCCCTTCACCTGTGCGGCCTTTTGCTTCCTGTTATCACCACTTCCTCTGCCTCGGCCTCTTCCATCAGCACTGCTGCTCTCCTCTCCCGCGCATCTCTCCAGGGCCTCCCTGCCTCCTCCACCCCTTCCCTGCCCCCCCACCCCTTCCCTGCCCCCCTTCACCCCTTCCCCCCTCCCTCAACCCCTTCCCCCACCCCTTCCCCGCCTCCCCAACCCCTTCCCTGCCTCCCCCCCACCCTTTCCCCCTCCCCCCACCTCTTCCATTGTCCCCCACCCCTTTTCTGCCTCCCCCCCACCCCTTCCCTGCCCCCACCCCTTCCCCCCCTCCCCCCACCCTTTCTCTTTCCATCTGCCTCCCCCACCTGCCCAGCCACAGGGGCCTTCCTCTTCCTCCTCCATCTCTCTCCTTGGTCCCCCCTGCCTTCAGCATCCTCTCTGTCCCTGCCTCTCAAGGCTTATCCCCATCCACTCTGCAGCCTCACGCTCCTGGGGCGGCCTCTTCCCTGTAGGTCTCAGCCCCTCCCAGCGGCTTCCTCCAGCCCCCCCACCCTGATTTCACCATCCCACCACCAAATCCTCGACTGCCCGGGCTGGGAGCTCCCTGCCCACCCTGCCCCGGGGTCCTTCTCAGCAGGGCGGTTCTCCCTAACAACTCTGGCTGCTTCTCTGGCCGGAGAGAGGAGGGAGGGAAGCAGGCAGTCCTGGAATGAAAACCAGGCAATAAAAAAAGACACCTGTCAGAAGGGCGGTGGGGAGCAGGGCCGCCTCTCCAGGGATAAAAGGCTCTGTGGCGACCGGGAAGAGACACCACCCTGCTTCTGCTTGCCCTGTGCAGGAGGGACCTAGCCTGCTCAGCATCCTTCCTCCCTCCCGAGGAGCCCCTGGACCCGCCCTCTGGGGCTCTGGCCTCTCCCCTCTGCCCCTCTCCCGTCTCTGGGGCCTCTGGGGGTCTCGGTGTGAGTGGTCCTCGCGGCCCGTGCCTCCCAGCCCTGAGTCTCTTGCAGCTCCTCCTCCTCCTCCTCCTCTCGGTTTACCTCTGCACGTGCCAGGACCTGACCCTCAGGCCCAGAATGTTCCTTCTGCTGACAGCACTTCAGGTCTTGGCTGTAGGTAAGRGAAGAGTGGTTCCCTGGAGTCGCTGGGAAGCGCTTAGGGAAGGGCTCTGGAGAAGCAGGAGGCTCCGGGCCTGGTGAGACCCCAGAAAGAGGTGGTCTGGGGCCGTGGCTGAGGCGCATGTGCACTGCAGGCCCAAGTTCCCAGCTGTAGAGATACTGGGAAGGGGTGGGGATGGGGAGAGAGGCAGGGATGGGAGGAGAGAAAACGAATAAGGAATTGAGGGAAACTCCAGGTCCTATCAGCATGGGGGGCCATGGGGCTCTCCTTGGTCCAGTCAGGGAAGAAATGGCTTGTTGTCCCAGCACGGTGGAGGAGGGTAGGGCTGGAGGTGCGGGGCAGGGTGTGTGGGGTCCGGGTGGAGGCGGGGCCACACTGGCGGGAAGGTTGGGGAGAGACAGGGAGCCCTGGACGTGTTCAGGAAGGACTGATGGCGGGCAGTGAAGGGAGAGTCACGGATGGGGGATGGAGTCAAGGGTTGTGGGTGCAGGAGGAGGTAGCCATGGAAACTATAGACACTGTGGAGGAGATGTGGGGGAGAGGTCAGAAAACGCCCTGGTTGTGTTGGGGCAATAATGGGGACAATGCTGGACACACTGGGTGGGGCAGAAAGAATGAGTGATTCAGGGATTAGGTCGAAGGCAGGGGCTTTGTCACTGGACAAGGTGCAGAGTYGAGAGAAGCGGGGAGCCTTTGTCCACCAGCCTTCCCCTCCCCACCCCACCCCTGCCCACTCCTAGGCCTGGCAAGGAGCCAAGAGGATGACAACAAGATCATCGGTGGCTACACGTGCATCCAGAACTCGCAGCCGTGGCAGGCCGCRCTGCTGGCCGGTGCCGGGCGCCGCTTTTTCTGCGGAGGGATCCTGTTGTCCGACCGCTGGGTCATCACTGCCGCGCACTGTGCCCGCCCGTGAGTGAGCCCCYGGCCCCTTCATGCCAAGTGCATTCAGAGTCGAGCACCTGAGCTCAGAACCCAGTTAGTAACCRGGTCCCAGCTTGGGGTCTAGAGAACACCCGAAAAGAAAGACAGCTCACAGTGTGGATTCCAGCCGTGAACCTTGAGCTCAGATGAGAGTCTAACCAGCTGGCATCCTAGAACCCAAAGTGCAGCTCAGAAACCCAGACATAACCAGAGATCCTTCAGTGCACCCAGCTCCAGTTCAAGACCAGTAACCCCTTCCAGATCAGTGACTGAACTCGGGGCTGTACCTGGAAYCCAGAGCCCAGTTCAGAACTTACAGTCTAGACATAAATCCAGAACCCATCTTGCAGCTGGGATATACAAATATAAGAACAGAGTGAGAAACTGGAGCTGGTTCCCACGAAAGGTTGAACTCACAGTCCTCTACTGTCATCTTTGAGCATCTAGAACCAGACTCCGCGGGCAGAGCAGTAGAGTACCTGGCTGCGGGGTGGAGGATTGAGAGGTTAAGGGGAGGTCCATCCCCCAGCAACCCCCAGGAGTCCAGAACCCAGGGCTGTTGCCTCAGATCCAGGGGTCCAGGCCCCCAGCTCCCTTAGACCTGAGTTTAAATACCAGAATGCAGCCCCAACCCATAAGAGCCCAGAGCCCCTCCCAGACGTCGGGYCAGAGCTAAGAACCCAGACCCCAGCCTTGAAGTCCAAGTGCAGGCTAAAGCTCACGTAGCCTACAAACCAGATGAATGCCATACACTGAAGTTCAATCTAGCACCTAGAGACAGAGCCCAGCACCAAGTCTAGGACACGACGCTCACAGTGAGAGCCAGCCTCTGGAACCTGGTACCCGGTGGTCATCTAGAGCCCCTCATGAGGTGGACGGCTCAGGCCAAATCTACAAGCAAAGGCCCAGGCTATAATCTGTCATTCAGAGCCTGGCCTAGATTCTAGGGTTCAGAGCAGCCTGAGGATGTGGCTCAGTGGTAGAGAGCTTGACTAGCATGCACAAGAGCCTGGGTTCCATCCCTAGTACTAAAAAAATAAAAAGTTCAGACCAATATTTAGAACCCTGAGCCCCAGCAGAGCATGGAGCTCAAGTGGTCGTTTAAAACTCAGTCGTGAACAAGAGCTTAACCCAGAACCCAGCACTCAAACCAGAGTTCAGAATCTGTTAGCTCAGGGAACATTGCTAAACATGGAACCCGCAGCCCRAAAGCTCACATCAGAACCTGGAAAGTGTGCCATCTTCAGAATTGATGCAGAATCCTGATCGTAGGCCAGAGTCAAAAACTAAGCTCTCAGGACCCCAGAGTCCCGGCTGGATTAGGATGAACCTGCTCCAGCATATCCATCCTGACTTAGAGCCCAGAGCCATGACCTGGGGTCTCATCAAGGCCTCAAAGCGTAGAACTCTGCACAGACCCTGGGACAGAGCCGGGAACTCCAGTCACCACCTTAGACCCAAGCCAAGAGCCAGAGCACAGCTCAGGGGAAGAGGGAGGGCAAGTGAGGATGGCCTAAAAGAGATGCCGGGGTCTGGGCAAGGTAGTGCACGCCTGTAATCCCAGCAACTCAGGAGGCTAAGGCAGGAGGATCACAGGTTCAAGGCCAGCCTCAGCAACTTAGTGAGGCCCTAAGCAACTTAGGGAGACCTTGTCTCAAAATAGAAAATAAAGGAGGCTGAGGATGAGGCTCGGTGGTTGAACGCACCTGGGTTCAGCGCCTGCTACCCAAAGAGAGAGGGCGGGGGAATGCCCAAACCAAGAAAAAGGATAAGAAAMTGTTCCGCCTGCAGTTAGAGGGGAGCAAGTTAGACTTAGGGAAAACGTCACCTGGGTGGGGTGGGCTGGAGGCAGGAGGAGGCCGAGGCCCACCGTAAGCTGCCTTACTCTGGGGGGTCACGGGCCAGGATCCTTCAGGTGTCCCTGGGCAAGCACAACCTGAGGAGGTGGGAGGCTACCCAGCAGGTGCTGCGCGTGACGCGCCAGGTGCCACACCCTGGCTACCGCTCCCGGACCCACGAGAATGACCTGATGCTGCTGAGGCTAGAGAAGCCCGCCAGGCTCGGGAGGGCAGTGAGGCCCATCGCCGTGGCCCAGTCCTGCGCCAGCCCTGGGACTTCCTGCCGTGTGTCAGGCTGGGGCACCACCTCCAGCCCCGTGGGTAAGGACACCTGCGCCCTGGGAGGAGGACCAGGGCCTGGGCTCCCGGGCCTGCGGGAGGAAGGCTGGGCCCGGAGCCCGGTCTCACTGGGTCTTCCTGCTCGATGCCCGCAGTCAGGTACCCCACGGTGCTGCAGTGCGTGAACGTGGACATCTCCTCAGACCAGCAGTGCCGGAAGGCCTACCCCGGAGCCATCACCTCGGGCATGGTGTGTGCCGGGGTCCCCCAGGGCGGGAAGGACTCCTGTCAGGTGAGGCCCGGGTGTGGGCGGAGGGAGGGGGTTGCTTGGAGCTGCCTCTTTAGGACCAGAGAATCTTGGCAGCAAGAAAGTCAGCAGAGTTGTCTGGGGAGGGGCTGCGAGAGCCGGGCCCCCGCCTCCTAGCCCTGCACCCCTCCATGCCTGAGTCTCCTCATCAGTAAATGGGGGTGACCCCCGTCAGGGTGGTTGGTGGAACTGGACACGGGCGTYGTGGGAAGCGGCCAGGGTGCACAGCGGGGCCGCACACAGGGGTTTGGGGAGCACCCACCTCGGGAGGCGGACCATCTGAGTGGGCGGAGACGGCAGGGCTGAGGAGAGACACAGTTTTGTGGAGACGGAGCAGAGATGGAGAGGGCCCTGTGACCACCAAGGCCCCAGGCCAGCCCAGGGCTGGGTGGAGACCCGGGAGGAGGGAGGCAAGTGCCCCTGGCCTGTCCCCTGGGCAGGGCTGGACCGTGGGCAGCTCAGCCGCCTCCCTCCCCACCCACRTCTCTGTCCCTCCCCTCAGGGTGACTCTGGGGGACCCCTGGTATGTGGAGGACAGCTCCAGGGCCTCGTGTCCTGGGGGATGGAGCACTGCGGCCAGCCCGGGTACCCAGGTGTCTACACCAACCTCTGCAAGTACCAAAACTGGATCCGGGAAACGATTCGGGGCGGTTGATCGTCCGCGTGACAGTTCCTCAGCTGCCCCGCCAGCCTCCCCAGCCCCTGCTGCCTCAGGCCCAGGACCCAGCTCCCTGACTCTTMGCCTAACTCCAGGCTCCTGCTTCCCAGAGCAGGGCTTCAGGCGTCCCCCACCCCAGGACTCCCTCAGGCACAGGGGACAGGGACACAAGCATCGGGCTGGCGTCCTATTTCCAAGAAGACAACTGTCMAAACTCAGTGTCTCTAAAACCCAAAGAAACGACAACAATAAAAACAGAATAATCCCAGATTTCACTCATCCTTCATTTAGTTCATGTGAGAAACAAGGACACAGTGGGTCACATGGGGGGGGCTGGTACCGGGGGTCTGCTCGGGTATCTAGGAGGTGCCCCAGCACTGCCGTCCTCCCTCAGCCTCCTCTCCAGAGCTGCTGAGGCCAGCGCGAGGAATCGGGTTTCCCAGAAGCTGGCCACATGCACCAGCCCTCCTGCTGCAAGGTCTCAGGTGTGCAGAGTTTGGCGCGTCACACCCCTGAGGTCAAGGTCTGGCAAAGCCYTCCTCTCGTGTTTTAAAGTTGTTTCTGCCCTTCCTCCCCATCTCCACAGTCCTCCTCCCACAGCAGCCTCAAATTCCCCGCATCCTGGGAAAGCACGCAGGGTCTCGYTGAACGTGACGCCCATGACCCCATTGTGTTAGGGGTCTCATTCTCTTTCTTACTTTCACCCCTTGATGACTATTTATTGCCCGCCTACCCCGTCCGAGGCGCTCATCCATTTAYTGGGTGCCTGTGGTATACCAGGCATGGTCTTGGGAGCTGGAGGGGGAGTGGGGCACGACAGGCCGGCAACAGTAGAGTAAAAATAAAGCAGAGTTCCTGTGAGTGAAAGACCCTTAACCTTGGACAGGGTGGCAGGCCCCGTGTGCGCAGAGCCAGCGCCTACCTGCTGCTATAGCCCACTGGAGAGTGTTCAGGAATTTCCAGAGCCAGCTGCTCCATACAGCCATTCTTAAAACCTGAGTTACCTAAACTTAAAACTGGGTGATTTGTTAAATGAAGCCAGTAACCACAGCATCTGTCCCTAATTATTCAAACGAATACCTGTGATCTGGGGTCATTTCTGTCCACGGTTCTGCATTGGTACTGATGAGCTTGGACACATCCACCTCCGTGTCCAGTGAGGCCACATGGTAGATCGACGGCAACCACAGTGTATTCACACCACAGAGGCTGACCAAGGCCGCAGACACGCGAGCGGAGGCTTTTATTGTTCCTCGGGGAGCCACTGCTAAGCCTTGGCCCCTGGAACCTGGACGGGTCTGCCCAGAATGTGTCTTAGTGTCTGTCTTCTCTAAATTCTGTGTTCGGATCCTACAGAGTTCAGATACAGTACAATGTCACTCTGGCCTCAGGTGCTGTGGGAGATGGCAGGGACCGGGGAGCTCTGAGGTGGCAGGCCTGGGACCTGCTCACGGCCGCTGCACAAAAGATGGCCAGGATGGACRACCAGAGCCCCGCCCGTGTTCCTCCCCGGCCCTCCAGTCCCTGTAGGTGCTGTTCTCAGTGCCTGATGGACTCGTTAGTCTCCACACTTAACCCGTGAGGTCGTGCAGTGACTGTCTTTCTGCATCCRGCTCACTTCCCTTAGCGTAAAGTCCTCCAGTCCACCCGCGTCATCACAAGAACGACCCTCTTCGATTCACACCCATTACCCTTTGTGCACTCAGTGCTCAGCAGACACCAAGGTGGCTTCTGCATCGTGGAGGATGCCACTGTGAACACAGGCGTGCAGATCTCTTCATTTCCTTTGGCTGTGTACCCAGGAGAGGGGCTTCGGAATCTCGGGGTGGCTCCGTGTTTACTTTTTTGAAGAGCCTCAGACTGTTTCTATACGTTCCTACAAGAGGGCAGGGTGGGTCATCTCTTGAGGGGATATCTCAATGTGCCTCAGCCTGATGATTAGTTGGTGACACTGAGCACCTTCTTATATATCTCTTGGCCATTCACACCTTTTGAGAAATGTCTATTCAGGTCCCATTTTTTATGGATTTCTTGTGATCTTGCTATTGGGTTCCTGTACTATATGTTTGGATATTAACTCTTCATCTGATGTATATTCTGCAAACATTCTCTCCCACTCCGGAGGTGGGGAGAGATCACTCCTGATTGTTCCCCTTGCTGCGTGGAAGCTTTTTAGTTTGATGTGATCACTCATTTTTCTTTCCATTGCTGGTGATTTGGGGGTCATATTCAAATGCCAAGAAGTTTCCCCCGTGTTTTCTTCTGGTGGTTTTAGAGTTTCAGGTCTTATGTTAAAGTCCTTGATCCATTTGGGGTTGTTTTTTTGTGCGTGGTGTGAGGCAGGGATCCAATTKCATTCTCCATGTGGACATTCAGTTTCGCTCTTTGGGGACTGTCCTTCCTCCACTGTGTGTCCTTGGCATCTTTCTTGGAGATAACTTGGCAGTAAATGCCTGGAGGAGGGAAGTGTGGGTGAGGAGTGGTAAATAGAGTAGTGTTCAGACTTCCCCAAAGGCTCTTTTAAACAAGAAGAGCCATTTGTCCTTCTCATTTATTGCTTCTCACTGTCCAGAGTCTTCCAGGCTCTCTGCTCCYTCGCTCTCCACGTCTGATTTCATGCCGATATCATGCTGTTTTGATTACGTGGCTGAATGGCAGATTTTGAGATCAGGCACCGTGATGTCTATAGTTTTGTGCTTCTTGCTCAAGATTGCTTTGGATATCCAATTATGTTTGTGTTTCCATGAGTTTTAGAATTATTGCTTTTTCTATTTCTGTGAAAAATGCCACTGGGTTGACAGGGGTTGCGTTAAACCTGTAGACCACTCTGGTCGGTAAGGACATTTAACAATGCTATTTCTTCCAATCCTTGAACATGGGATATCTTCACATTGACTTGTGTCATCTTCAATTTCATCAATGTTTTATAGTTTTCAGTGCACAGATCTTTCACCTACTTGGTTGAATTTATTTCTAGGTATTTTATTGTTTCTGATGCTATTATCAGTGGGATTGTCTTCTGAATCTTTCTCTGACAGTTTATTGTTATAAGAAACACAAGTGAATGTTTGTAAGTTGATTTGGTATCCTGCAACTGAACTACATTCATTTACTAGTTCTTACAATTTTTTTTATGGACTCTTCAGGGTTTTCTATATAAAAGATCCTGTCATCTGAAAACAGACAACTTCATTTCTTCCTTTCAGGTTTGAATGTCTGTTGCTCTGCCCAGGACTGCCCCGACGATGTTGAATAGAAATACCGACCGTGGAGGCCGAGGGTGAAGTTCAGGGGTAGACTGTGGGCCTAGCATTCATGAAGCCCTGGTTTGATTCCCAGCAAAACAAAAAGAGAGGAAGGAAGAAAGGAAGGAAGGAAAGGAGGGATGGAGGGAAGAAAAGCAAGGAGGTAGTTGCAGTGGGCGTCCTTGTTCTGATCTCAGAGGAAAAGCTCTCAGCTTTTCTCCACGGGGTGCGTTAGCTGGGGCTGGTCACACACGGCCTTCTGTATGTGAAGTGCATTACTCCTACACGTCATTCATCAAGGGTCTTTATTTTGAAAGGGTTTCGTGTTACSTCAAGTGATTTTTCTGCATCTAGTGAGACGATTGCATTATTTTGCCCGTCATTTAATGTAGCACATCACATTTTTTAATACACTGAGCCCTTCTTGCTCCCAAAGATAAATCCCACTTGGTCAGGGTGTTATGAGCTTTTTTTTTTTTTTAAAGAGAGAGTGACAGAGGAGAGAGAGAGAGAGAGAATTTTTTAATATTTATTTTTTAGTTCTCGGCGGACACAACATCTTTGTTGGTATGTGGTGCTGAGGATCGAACCAGGGCCGCACGCATGCCAGGCGAGCGCGCTACCGCTTGAGCCACATCCCCAGCCCCATGAGCTTTTCATTATCTCTTTAATTCTGCTTCCCAGTATTTTGCTGACGACTTTGCATCTATGTTTAACAGGGATATTGGCCTATAATATTCTTGTCTCACCRGGTCCGCGCCTAGGTTTATGGAGGATGCGCCCTCTGTGTCAAGGCAACACACACACATACTGTGACTCCACATGTGGCAGCCATACAAGCTCTGTGGGAGAAAGGAGTCAGAAGGACCTTCATAGCTGGGTAGCCTCAGCCCTGACGAGATGATTCAGCCCATGCCGTAATAATCTGCCTGCATCCTTCTATAAAACAAAGTGAAAGTAGTTTAATGCAATTTCCAACTCACCAACCCAGCTGCGGAGGTTGAAGACCATATTTTATTGATTCCAAGATGTACATTCTGTCCACATTTTAATACCTCTGGAATTGGGTGGCACCTCTTACAACTGGTTGAGCACTAGGTAACGACATCATGTCATAATTTAACTAGCAGCTCCTTTTTCTTAGGAGTGTATAAGCTAATACATCGAATGAGGTCAACAGTCCTCTTGTGTTCAGTGTAACAGGGCATGAAGGGAGGCAAGTGGAGGAGAGGACTCACACGGAAGTAGTAAAAAAGTCGTGTTCAGACTTCCCCAAATGCTTTTTTAAACAACAGGAGCCATTTGTCCATCTCATTTATTGCTTCTTACTGTCCAGAGTCTTCCAGACATGTGCTGACCAATATGGTGCCCATTAGATATATTATGTGGTTATTTAATTTTTCAATTAAAATTAGGACCATTTTAAAATGTGATTTCTTAGTCATACTTGCTGAGGTGCTCAGAAACCATATGTGGTCATTGGCTGCCAGTACAGATGCAGACTATCTCCATCATGTCTGAAGGTTCTATTGGATGAGATGGCTCAAGGTTATACCCTTACTTCTCCCAGTGTGGTCCAGGAAACAGCATCATGGGATTTCTGGGGCTTATTAAGAATGCAGAGTCTTGGACCTCACTCCAGGTCAACTAAACCACTGTGCATCATAACAAGATCCCCAGAGGATTCCATGCATGACAAAGTTTGAGAGGCATCACTCCATAGTGTACATCCACCATGTTTAATGACCCAAT